CCCCTCTCGGTGTCCATGAAACATGTGTGATGGTGTTGATTTAGTAGAAACGTCTGCAATGGCAGGTCAGCAGTGTCATCGTAGTTTCCTGGATGATCTGTTGGTTCGGTGGTTGTGACTTTTCAACACCTGTGTGTAGCTCCTCTGACAAACAAAGATAAGCTTTGGAGTAGGCCAGTGCTTGAAGTGGAAAAAAATAATTGCCATTACTCCCATTATACACATGTCAGTGTGTGTATGGGCCGGTATCAGCAATCTCTTGCTACTTATTCTTATTTATTTATTATATTTTTCAGCATGTTATACTTTGTCAGTTGTGATTTTATTGTTATATTATAATTAGGCCATGCATCTTCTATAGTAGGCCTATAATACTCCCAATAGTAGTCCAATTTTACCCATAGTGTTAATACTTAAAGTGCTTTCCTGTGTTATTTGTGTACAGTATTGCTCGAATATATCATAGATTGCCGATAGCCCGGAATCAACAGCAGCCAACCAGACAGGCAGGTATACATGCAGAGCTGAGGGCTCTCCGTTCATGTTTTAGGTTCAATTATTACTATAGCTATCGCCACAAAAGCTGAAAGACGCACCTTGCTATAGTTAAATAATTATTTTAATTTACAAATATCACAGCCTTCTTCTGAACATTTAATTCTTCTTTCAATGTTTACACGTGTGAAATCATACTCTTTTAATCAAAATAATGCATTAATAACAAAGTATTGTTTTGATTGCTGCACTCGACTGTGCAATTACAATAAATTCCCTTTAGATTAAGTTTAGCTTTGACTTAACTACACTGCCTCAGGAAATACAAATAAAAAGTCCACCCAGGGTAGCAGACTGCCAGCTTTTATTCAACTCAGACTCGACACCGCAGACTTCTGAAAGCAAGACAACCGTCTGCTTTGGATGAAACTGCTCAAAGGGCTCACATACATTCTCTGGTGTAATGATTATTCTAGTCACCTTTATTCCATTTTCCGCCAATTTTATTAAAAGCAGAAAAGAGCAGTGGCTGCCAGAGATATTGCTCCGCTGATCAATTTGCATAGAACGCAACGGGGTGCTTTTCTCCCCATATGGATCTCGGCAGAGCTCTCTGCATATTTCTGAGGTAAAAAGTAGAGGTATGCGGATTGAATCGCACAAGTTATTACTCTCCCAGAAGTGTTGATTAGACAGCTTGAATGCTTTGCAGCATCGCAGCGTCACTGTTGAGGTTTGCCATATGGATGAGCAACTGATAGCTGGTTAGCTAGGCAGAAAGCTGTGCAATAATGCACGACCCTGCCTTCTTCAAATCCTCTTGATATGTCAGAACGTAAAGGAAATTATGTCTTTTGAAGTATTGCTGCTCTCCTCTGTCCTTGATCAGATGGAACTTATTTGAAGGTGCCACTGTAATTGGCGTCTCTGCAAAGTGTGGGGGAAGTTGATGTGGAGGGAGTGGGTGGATGAATGTCAGACTTTTTATCCTTGCTTGCATATTGTGAAGTGAAAATCTCATATTTCAAAAATATAAACCGTCTAAGAAAGTTAAAACAAAGCTTTGATCCCACCTTACCACACATTGAGCAGTCGAACCTTCTCAGACCTTCTCAGAAGTTCTCAGACCTTAAAGAGTGGATCGAATTGTGACCTTAAATTCGAATGTCAAATCGAAAGTGGCTTGGAGATTGAGACGCCTCTAATTTACAAACATCATCACCCTTGATTAACGCAAATGCATGTGCATATTTTAGATTGCACTTCAGAATAGACACAATATAACTTTAATGAGTCCAAAACTGGGACATGGCAACATGTTCAACAGGAAGAAAGAATATGACGAAGAAATCCCCAAAGCAGCAGGTAATAAGCGTGACACAATGGGTCATTTAATCACTGCAATATGTCAAGAGGAAATGTCTGAATCATACTATGAAAAACAACTTTGGTGTTCCTGTTTACTCAGTAAGGAAGACCCGGGGGGTTTAAAGACTTAGATGCTACCTGGAAGTGTCGCACAAATATGCAGTGATTTCCATCTGTGGGAAATGTGTCGTGATTTACTATCCTAGAGATCAAAAGACAACTCCACTATTCACACCTTCTCTTAACACTTGACAAGTCCCCCATCTTCCTCTTCTTCTGTCTCTCTGTAGTGTGTGTATTCTTTAAGTTTCTCTTTCCTTTAACTTTTCATATGCAGGGTAGAGAAGGGTATCTGAAAAGATGCTCTAACTACTGCGAAGTTGACAAAAATTGGGAATCCTCTCTCTTCTCTCTACATTCATTTTCACTTTTCCCCCATCACTAAACATCTACAAATCATTCGGGGAATGGATAAAGGCATGCATACAGGGAGATGAATGGTTTAATTTAGATTCAAATTGCATAAAGTGGGCTAATCGGAATAGCTGACAAAAGCTCTATGACGGAGAAGTGATAACCTGCAGGCTGCTTCCTTACTGCAGGAGATGGGAGTGAAGTGCCGAGCTGGTTTACAGGTCTAATTGCATGACTCAGTTTAGGGAGTGAGAAACTGACATGGGAGGAAACAAATCCTGTGGGATTTAACACTTAATGAGTGTTACTTTGCCTGAAAAGTCAGACCACGCATGCTTTAAGTCTCTTTTTCTTTCCTTTTCTCACTGTTTTTCCTCACCTGTCTCCGTCTGGATTTGAAGCGATGTCTTTTCTTCTCTTTGCACATCAGCCTGCTTTCTGGTTCTTCTCTACAGCTTTTACTTTCATAGTCTCTGCTTCCCGTCTTTCTGGCTCACTCTCTTTGCATCTCTTTGACCTTGTGTGTGCATCACTCAGACATTAGTTTGTAAGCAAATTTATATACTTTTTCTATTTCAAAAGTTTATTTCCAGGGGGCATGACTGAGGACTTCTCAGTTAATGAGTTTTTGTAGTGCTTCTGTAATATCTTATAGTTTAGAAATGGTCTTTCTTATGAAAACCTTTATGTATTTCTTACGCCTTATTTCTTTTGTATGTATCTTGTTCCTTGAACTCTTCCAATATATAGCACTTCATTTAAAGTTTTTTAATGAAAGTGTAACATCAAATAGGTACGTTGTAGGTTAAAGGCCTCTTCTGTAGAAATTTAGCACCACCCCTTAATTACACTTAATAATAATATGGTGATCCATGTCCCTCATTGAACACTCCCCTTTTCTAGCTACCAACCTGGTACAACGGTTGGCACGAAGCCATATGACCAAATACCAACCCACCCCTGCAGGTGTGCCGTAGGCCGTGTGTGGAGGTAATTTTCCTCTTAGAATTTTTTATTCTTCATACCTACCTTATTTAACTGTTGTCTGTAATGTGTTTCATGTTGACCCTGATGAAGGCCACTAGCCGAAATGCACTCAGAAGACTCAGAAGTCAGAGTTGCAGTCACTTTTCTAAATGTCATCAGACTTCAGCCCAAGGACACAATGATGTTAACTAACTTTGTGTGTCTGTATGAACTCCCATATGCATGCAGACCTGAGGTTAGTTATGTATATTTCCATGTTTGTTTACCTCCCGGGGCCTTTATCATGAAGCAACTTCAAACCGAGGATCCACTCAGGCGGGGTTTAACGAGGGGAGGCTGCTTGATTTGAATTTGAGTCCAAAAAGTGTAACAAAGACATGAAACACATATCAATGATATCTCATATGTCTCTGATGGCAAATAAACATCCATAAATCTGCTCAGCAATCCTAGGAAAAGGACCTTTCAGTTTATGAAGTTCAGAACTTTTCAGAGAATCATTGGTTTTGGTGAAAGAGGCAGAGGTCACAAATACAAGTAACAATCATCAAGTTTTGATCCGCTGAAGTTAACCAGCGAGTTAGTTATGGTTTACCATGACCATCTGCCTCCGTTACAAGTAAGCCAGTGTTCTAAGAAGGAAATCTTTTGAAATGAACGGCCTTTTCTTTGAGTTTTCGTGTGTCATCTTCTCTCTCTATCCTGCAGACTTCTTACTTCCTGTCAACAGTCGGTTTGATTTTTTTCTGGCCTGGTGCCTGAAGCATTGTAGTCAGTTTAAGAACATGATACCCAGCCTGACACACTGCATCATGATTACTTAATCCCATAATTATGTTGAAAAAAACTGTAGGCATGAAAGCACTCTTACTGTATACATTAAGAGTGCTTTCATGCCTACAGTTTTTTTTTCTAATCATGCTAATAAAAGATTATTGTAATTGGTTGGTTTTGCGGTTATTTTAGGCAAGGCAAGGTTATTTGTATAGCACATTTCAACATTCTAGTTGTGGTCACAAGTTAAACAGAGCTCGTGCATGATTGACACGTATGTGTATTGGACTGTTGAGCTGGTTAAGTCAGATATGTTTTGCAGTAGTCAAAACAAACATTTATCTCCAAGATTTTCATACAAAATGAAGAAAAACTTCAACCAGGGGATAATCTTCAAATAAGTGTTCATTGCAGGAGTCATTTTGCAATTTTGTGACTGTAATTGACGTTTCTTGGTGCACCTGTCTCTCTTTCTCTCGCCCTGCTTTGTCAACCAGAGTGACTTTCATACCTTTCCAAGACCTGGTGTGAACTTGTTGCATCATGTATTTGTGACAATTGTGTGTGGCGAAATTGTTATCTGGCATTAGTAGTTTTAATGATGTTTGGAGCTTATTAAGAAGTTCACAGGTCATATATTCTCTCTCTAATATCTATTTCATATTGCTGTGAAAACATCTTCAAACAACTGTATTTATTCAAGTTCATGCTGGTGTACTTTCTAAACCTTCCACTCGTAATTGAAAGAAGAGCTGGACATCACTTGAAGGGCAAACAATTTCCCATAAAGTGTTGTATCTTGTATTTAGTTCAGCGTATATTTTCACACTTAACGAGAGAAACACTTATTAACAGCGCAGGTATTTATCACTGAAACTCTGGCCTTTGATTAAACCAGTTCTGAGTGTGTACACACCATATTTGTCAGTCTAACAGTTTTTTCCTTTTATTGTTTCCCTCAGAGCCAAGAAGAAGACCAAGCCCTTGAACCTTAAGATCCACAGCAGCGTGGGCAGCTGTGAGAATCTGCCCACGCAACGTTCGCCCCTCCACTCCGAGCGATCTCTGCGATCCTTCTTCTTCCCTACCTTCATCCCTTCCACACCTCCTGTCCATGCTGAAACACCTTCTGCAAGTGAGAGAACTCTTCTTTCTTTAATCAGATCGTGCTCTCAAGCTTTTACGAAATGAGAGTTTTATGAGAATTTGAATGCCTTTAATACGGATGTCATTCTGCTGTCATTCTAGATTAAGTCAACAAGTCCATCAAACTGTAATACGGGTTGATTCTTAACCCAAAATCAGTCTTTAGTCTCTGCAACAGTTGTCTGACCTTGTGTTCCACTTTCTGGTATCAGTCTTCTGCCTTAACACTTTTCCAAAGTCGACCTCGCCACAAAAAGAAAGAAAAGAAAGATTACCTTCGCCCATAATCATTCTTACCACCATAATTATTTTATGGTGGTAAGATGGTGGTATTTTATGGTGGTATTTTATGGTGGTAACAATATACTTAAGCACAAATGAACAATCAGGATGTGCCACTGCCGGAGGCGGTGTGTTGCTGCACATTGTCAGCCTTATTGGCTGATGTATTATGGGAATATTGCGAAAGCCATAAGACCAAGGAGGAGCTGGGGAGTGATGGAGATTAAGTCAAGGAAAGGGGTGATTAATGTCTGCCGCTTAGTGTCATGAATAGCTGTAGACTTGACGAACAGGTATGTGGGGCACGGCACTGCATATTTGTCGGTAGAGGCATGGCACGGAATAATCACACGCCATGCATGAGTGGACAGACTATAGTCTCACTTGCTGATGTGTGCATGCGTGTTAACAATAGCAGTTTGAAGAAGAAGAAGATGTAGTTCACACCCTACTGGTAGGCAAGGTCAGGTCACATCTTCAGCAACCGGCATCGACAGAAATTAACACAACAAACTAGGATAGGCTTTAATGTCACATTGTTTCCCATTTCTTTCATGGGTTTCACCATTTTGTGCCACTTGCTGCACCACTTTCTCTTTGAGGCGAAAAGAACAAATCCATAATTTCCTTCCCAGGTGCATATAAGCAAGTGGAAAAGCAAAATATATATCGAAATATATAGAACTCCTTATTACCTACAGGAAAGGCCAGTGCCAGTATGTTTACCTGCTTATTCAACCTTGTACTCTATATACAACTTTCTATATAATTTACAAAAGCAAAGTAAACCTATTTTAAATGAATAATTGGTGGTTATGCTTGGTCAACTCAAAGCACTGTTTCTGGTTAGGTCTTGGTTATTTTCAGTAAAAGTCTGCAGTGACTTGAAAGAACAACACAAGACCATTTTGCTTTGTTAACATTTAACCGATCCACAATTCTGTGGAGCTCCTCAGATGACCCTACGGGTCTCCAGTTCTTATTTTAGGAAAGGCATGTGTGTGTTTGTGTGTGTGTGTGTGTGTGTGTGTGTGTGTGTGCGTGTGTTAACGCTTGTGTGAGCATGCGGACAAGAGTGTGTGCGCCGCTTATACCAGGCTAAACATTGGTCCCGGGACTATGTTTGGGATTATGGTATAATTCTGCCATCTCATACCTCAGGGCCCTCAAGCCAACAGCAGTATCGCTCATCGCTCCAGTCGTTTGAATCAAAACAGACGGAGGACCCACAAGACTGGCAGAGGTGACCAAACGCTGTCTGCTCAGGATGAGTCAGTGCCCAGTCAAAGCTGAAACGTCAGCGTCTTCGTATGAGTTTGGCTTTCCACATAGAGACACTGTGATAGTCTGTTCATGACACGATGAGACATTAAAAATTCTCACTAGTGTTTCTTTGCTGGATCGGTCTTTGGCACATTGTGGGGTTATGCTAACCCCAAATGCTAAAACAGCTTTCATACATTTGAATGATTTGAATTTGTGCTCATTTAAAGACAGTGTAATGATATTTTCAGACTTTAAAACCGCTCAGTTTTTGTTTTTTTATAATGAAGATGTCTGTGTTTTCCTGGTTCTTTATTCAGACCTTCTTTTGTTGTTTGTTGTATCTTGTATAACAACATCATACTCAATCTTGTCATGTTGCGTAATGTGTTCGTGTTTTCATGACTGGATAATACCTAGGAATGTTTTTCTTTTAATTCTTTATTTTATTTCCACTCCCTGCATTGTCATGGCCTTCTTCTTTCTGTCTTGTGACCAGCATCGCCATTGCCTTGTTTCATATGCTGCATTTACTGTCATGCAAATAAGATGTGATGGGAAACAGGTGGGGTTGTACCCATTTTTAAATTCTGGGTGTATACCAATACCCAGGTGTATTCTCTTTTGTTCCAGGGAAAGAAACACCTTTTCATATAAACAAAAATAACTGAGCTGTTTGACCAATCAACACAAGAACTTCTCATGAACATCAAACACAAGGAAGTGTTGCTCATAGCAGTCTATGATTGGTTGAGTACATTTCTTTAAAGGCCTGGCAGGTGACTGTGACCAATCACCATCATCACATACTATGTGAAGGTGTGTAGAGCCTTTGTTAGTTTGCTGTCTATTTCCTTGTTTCATATGCTGCATTTACTGTCATGCTTATAAAATGTTGATGGGAAACAGGTGGGGTTGCACCCATTGTTAAATTCTGGGCGGATACCAATACCAAAGTTGTTCTGACTTTGTTTTTGCTGTTATTTATTCCAGTCAGTAAATGTATCATTATTGCAGAGGTTCCGCTCTATAACTATTTTTTCTTTCCAACTGGCAGTAATACCGTCTATTGTTTTGCCTGGGACCATAGGGTTACTTCATAAATTCGCGATCATTTCACTGAAGTGACTAGTAGCAGCAGAACACCGCTGGGGAGCGGACGTCACCCCTTGTTGGCTTCTAGTGACCCATTACGCACACACAAGATTTGTTCCCCACCCAGTGATTGTTTTTAAGAAATCTTTTAAGCCATTGTTATAGTGCTTATTTTTAAGTTGAACATGACAATGTTCTTGTAGCTGATCTTTCCCTGAGACAGTGTAATAATCCCACAAGGCCTACTTTTTCTTTCACTTTTATTTGTAAAACAAACCACATGTGGCACGTTGCATGGTCCTTATGCCAGAGTCTGTGGCTTCTTCTCCGAATCAGCAGCTTGTTATTGTTGTCTGAGATCGGCCGCAAATTACCAACACAACAGTTAGCTTGCGCAAAACTGATGCAACACAAACATATAAACACAGGCCACTGCCATCGGTTAATACCATCTTTTTTGGATGGCAGTCTAAAAGGCAAATATCGGCCGATACCGACGTTCGGCAAAGACCAGCGGAAAGCTTCTTATCTGCAGAAACTGAAATGACTTAGTAAGGCTTCTGATGCACATACATAAACAAAAGTTTGCAGACAATGAACATTAGATTGACAATGTCAATACATATAAGGGCTGTAGAGTGTTTCAGGAAAGAATCCTAAAACCCCGAAATGAGTCAGCATTTTCACACTTTCGGTTCCCTTGTCTCGAGGTAATTGATTTTTTGGTTCGATGCCAGAAATAACACCTGTGGTTAACACAAGTTTAAGATATTTTAACATTTTGTTCTACAATATAAAAGACATCAGTAAATATACATCAGCTTTTAAGAGTCTTAAAAAAGGCAGTTGCTAACAAGTGGCTAATTTCTGCAATAATCCAATAGAAAAATCCCATTGGACTTTGGTCGAGGGAACCAGTGCAATGCTAACTTCGGGTTTACCTAAAAATACGTCGTGCCTGAAGCACTTTATTGCCACTCATGGAAGGCCTATATCCACTATAATGCTCGTTTTGTTGCACTGAGTTTGCCCAAGTTTATGCAAGCACAAAAGTCATTTTAGATAATAATTTAAGTTTTTGCAAGCAAGGAGCGTCCTATTGTTTTTTCTTCTTTTACCCTCATGGTCCACTTGAATAATACATACAGATTTCAGTTATTTTGCTCCAGGTGCTGTGATAAGTCATTGTTTTTCCAGTTTGAAAAGTTATGGTGGCCACAGAGGGACATGTTCCACGGACAGCTCACCTCCTGCGCCTCAAGCTGTTTGAGCTCACACAGAGCAGCCACACACACCCCACACTTGTGATGAGGCCTTGTTTCTAGTTGGAGGTCCAGTACCGGCCCTGGGACTCTACCAACACACACACATTAAAACTGCAGTGTGTGTGTGTGTGTGTGTGTGTGTGTGTGTGTGTGTGCACGTATGAGATGCCGAGATAGAGAGTGTGTAGGAGTCTGTGAGTGTGTGCTTGTGGATATAAATGGCCTAAATGTTCTTCATAAGCTTTGCACACAACTCACTCTGTTTATTTCTACATGTGCTCCAATGACGTCACCCACTCACCCTTACCTCGCATAGACGCTTTGCAGTTGCGTCACAGATCTCCATAGCAACCTAGTGTGGCACCACAATGGAGGTCCCTTTGAGAGTTGGCAAATAAGCAATGGCTACAAATAACTGCTGAATTTATAACAGGGTGAGGAAAAAGAGCTACCTGAGCAGTAGGTTGGAGTCGATTAAGTATTTCATTTCTTTGCTTTTCTATCATTCAGCCATGGTTTGGTCGTGGATTGTTAAAAGGAATGTGATGACTTTAACTCAATAATCTTTTCTTGCAACATCAGGTCACAGCTACAAAAAACAACAACATTTTCCAAGTAGGAAGTCTCACTCCAACTACTGAAACCGTGCAGAGGAGGTCAATAACTCCAGTCAATAAAGAGGTGAATTGGTCAATAGTTACTATGTTGGTTCCTAGAAAAGAAGAGCAGGTGTTATAAACAGTGTCGCGTGTCTGATGAGTCTTTGTGAGCACTCTGCTGCTACTGCATCCACATTGAAATGCTGTTTTTGTGCAAAAAAATCCTCACTCTGAGGTCGACACTCGACACCTCAGCTAATCTAAACAAAGGGCTTTAATAGCCAGCTAGCTAGCAGGGTCGTGTGACGGCAGATGTTAACGACCTTCAACTTGCTGCTAAAGCTTTGGGTTTACAAGCCACAGAGAACAAATCAGATGTGTTCATTCTCATATTTCAACAGGCTGTGTGCTGTAGGAGATGGTACTGTTTGGTCATAATGCATTGAATGCCGCATGTATGTTTGAGCTTCCCATCTGTCGGCACC